ACGACCTCCATCAAATTCGAAGGCACTACGTAAGACTAACATTCGCATCATCACCACCTCCAGTACTACCACTACCATCAGAAATAGAACTAAAATACCAAAACCTTTACCACTACCAACACTATCTCTGTTTCAAAGGGCTTACTCGACCCCAGTCGTTTTCATGGCGTGGTTGATCAACCAGCACCCGTGCCGCGCAGGGTGTGAAGAAGCTGGGCTACCCAGGGCAAGAGTACTCTTAGTTTAATTTTTTTTTTCATTAATTGTTCCCTTTTATTTTCGCAGCCAACAACTATTCAGTGGCAGAAAGTATTCTTTATCAATGCAGGAATTTTCGTTCTCGGCTGGATTACTTATATCTTTCTCGGAAGTGGAAAACCGCAACCATGGAACACTCCATTTGAGGACCTAGTGGTGCCGGTTGCTATTCCCAGGGAACCCAGGAAACCAGTCATGACGAATATTCTAACCAAGAGTGAGTCAGGATTTCAGTATTCACCCTTTCCTCACCATGAGAGTGAGATTTTCACCGACAACAAATGATAAATTATTTAATATATGGAGTAAGTTTCTAAAGAAACTGTGGTGCTGCATTGGTGGGGGAGTTTAGCAAGATAAGTTGATTTTATCAATTAAGTTGATGATATAAATTTATCACCGTAAAGAGTTTGTAAAGTTGAAGTTTCAAGTGTTAGCCGTTCGTCATAGAGAAAGACCAAATACATCATCAACTCAGTCGATAAAACCAAATTGTCTTGATAAATTCTTTGCTCCAAATTGAGATAACTAAAGTAAACAAAAGAGAGATAAAGAAAGGAGGATTGCAACATAACTGAAGAACTGTTGCTTATGTCTTTTTTTGCCGGACGGTCTAACCAGTCAACTTTTCCTTTCCTGGTTGGTCAATTTTGCCAAGTAGCTGGCTGTAAATACTGTATGCTGTTGAGCAATATTTTTTAATTGGACCTTTTGAATCTAGCAAGTATCTTAACTTGGGGAATGACAATGTTTATGTTTAAGATCCACGACAGAAAAGGTTGATGAAGATTCTGCAAGGGCATCATCTGCATAAATGTTCAAATTTATTTTTGTTTCGCCGTAGAGAAAGAGAAATGTTCATTTCCACCCTTTAGTCCTAATTTGTTTAGTGATCACACTGGACAAAAATCAGTCATCAAACCCTGATGCTATAATTCATTGAACATCCATGAGTAATTTGACTGACTCAAAAAACGGTTCTTTAATCTAAACTTTTGTTTGGGTTCTCTGATTCATTAACTTTTATTTTTACACTTCTATGTTTCATTCTGAATATAACATGAACTGCTGAAGAAGGGAAAATCTTACTAACTATCCTATAACTTTAACAAGGGTTCCATTTGAGCACCATAATTACAAATAGGTTAAGAAATGTTCCGGCTCTTTAGATAAGATTTGTTGAAATTGTACTTAGTTACTCAGAATCTAAGGAACTTCACCATGTTTGTACTTAAAAAGCCAGATTATCTGGAGGAATATCAGAGCTATGTGCAGATTTTATCGTTGAAGGCAAACTACGATGGGTTTCTTGGTCATCCAGGGTTCTTACGCTGCTTGGTCTAAAGGAACAATGATCAACTAGGGCAATGATGAATTAGATTATTTCTGATCCATATAAATAAATTTTAGTTGGCGGATGTCTCCCTCCTTCAGAAAAAAACGCTCGTATTTACTTCTACATAACACATTTATAGTTATCTGTATTTTAATTTTCAAATGTTCATTTCAAGACCAAAAAATTAGACTAAAGCATGAAGGTAGTGGGTCACATACTCGTAAACTCCTCCAGTAATAGGCATTTAATAAACTATCTCGTATATAATAATATAAAGCAAAACAGATACTTGACTGACATTTAAGCTTTAAGGTTGGAATCTCTCACGAGAAAAAAGCTTCATTTCAAAGTGCTGTTTTGTTGCACATCTGAACTGCTCGTATCATCGCAGTTGCACACAACTAGCATCTTTACGGTAAGATAATGAAGCAATTATGTTTTCCATCGGATTGCAAGAGCGCAAAAATTTGGAACGTGGCATCATAATCATAAAATCGAGCGATGAATCACATGGGCAGAGTCGTTGCTGCATGTTTGAGATTACACGAATGTACGAAAAGGGATTTCTATACGACAAAAAATACAACCATATACAACCAAATCTTACTTAGATTCCAATAGCAACTTTGTATAAGACTGAAAAAAGATTTACCGACCTTATTGTTCAATATATGTGGCGCCTTCTCGTGAAGATGTTCGTACTGGAACTGAATCACTTACACTTTCAAAAGTGTCTGCTCTGAGTCGGACGGAAATGTTACACAGATCTGACATTTTTACTCCCTTCCTAAATGTTGCTTTTGTACAATGCTCTTAGAGAGCTCAGAAGGGAACATGTATTGTGTCTGTTGGAGTAGGCGCCATTTTGGAATATTCGATGACATCACCTTATATCTATTTTTGACTTTTACGCATGCGCTATTATAGGTATGGAACCTGAACTTTTTTAAATGAAAACCGCTGCTTCAGTTGCAATGGCTGCTAGCCAGAAATGAATCCTACCCGGAAGTTGGTCCGTCTTAAACGGCAGCCATTGTTATTAGATTAGACCAACCGTTTCTGATATCTGATAACACAATACCAGACCACAGTCATTTTAAAATGGCAATGTTTCAATTTCAGACTAATTAGGTTACAAATTCAGAGAAGTTGTTCGTGTACTTAGCTAATCCTGATCAGCTGCTGGAATCTATCTCTAATTGACATTTGAGACTCATTTGTGCTAAACGGCTCTAGATAAGCGTTCTCTACGAGACAAAACTTAAAAGCTTATGTTGATGAGATTGTTGAAGTGCAAAGCCTTCTCCATAAGATGAAGATCCCCTTTCTAGTGCTAGTTAAGGGCATAGGGTGAAATAAAGACTGGACCATTGGACCCTTGGACCACTGGACTTTTTTTGGACTATTTTTTGACCACATTTGGACCATTTTTTGAAACTTTTTTGGACCAATTTTATCTGGCGGAGGCAGACCATTAGAACTTAGGGAGGGGTGGCATGCAGTCTATCAGTACTCAGATAGGGGTGGGAGGCGGACTTTTGTCACTGAGGGAGGGGTGGAGGACGAGCTATTAGTACTCAGGGAGGGCTGGGCGGTTGTTGTATTAGTAAATGCTACTGATAATGGAGTTTCACTGGATCATACAAATTATTTTGAGCGCCTTTTCGATTGACTATTTTCATGTCAAAATTTTTGCGCTGGGCCGTAGCGTTTCTTTATTTTTTGGTCATGCGAATGCGAAACTAGCACCTAAACACTGGACTATAATTGTTATTGAAAGTATCACCAATTTCCGTTTTCGATCCTCCACTGTTGAGTCGTGCGTGTGCCTTTGAGGTCGAATTGTGCCGGTGCTAAATAACACTCACGGGTTATCACGAATCATCCATAAGTTGCTTTACGTTTCCCTTTGTGTGTACAGTATATCACTTCTAAATTTATCAACTTCTTCTGGTCATTTATCTTACCCGGACGACAGAGATCCCGAAGTTTCCGATCGTTAGCTCTTAACTTAGCATTCACAAGCGTTATCGCAATTTTAGTGTTTGCACCTTTACTATAAAAACATTTTGGTAGTTTCATAGAAAGTAATCTTCTCTCTTTTTAGATACACAGTTTTCCGGCTTTAAGTGCTATTTCCTCATAGCCCACGCACTTTAACTTTCTTTGTACAGTTGGGTTTTTTCCTTTTTCTGCATAATATTTTGATCTGGTCTGAGGTTAGCAGACACTTATCAACTTTATCTGTTTCAGAAATTGGAAAAAGATTGTAGGTTCTCTCAAGTCATTGCGAAACATAGAAGTCGCTTTGTCATTGTCTCTGAGAGGGCTTAGCATAATTTACGAAACGAAACGGAATGAAAAAATGTAATTTTTAAAATTAACTTACATCGGTAATTTGCGAAAAGGAAATTTTTAATTTGTGAATTAGAAATCCGTAATTTTCGAGAGAGGTAATTCTGTATTTTGCACTTGTGTGGATTTAATGAATCAACGCAACGGCTATGTGAAAGAAAAATTGCGCCATTAAGCCATAAAATGCAAATCTGGTATTTATAAAATGATCCAGCGCTAAAGCTGTGCTTTCTTAATCGTCAATTTACGTAGTGAAATGCGTGACATGACAGTCAACTTAAGGCGTGAGTTGAGTGTATCTAATAAGGAAAACTGTGTATCTGAAAAGAGACAATATTGCTTTGTACGACTGTACCAACAATGTTTCATGACAAAGATATAAACGTGAAAATTGCAATAACGCTTGTGAATAAGGACCGGAAATTCCGTGATCTTTGTTGTCTGATAAGATCAATGACAAAAGGAAGATAGCTAAATTGAACGACCTACCGTATACACAAAGGGAACCATGAAGCAACTGATGGATGATTTATGCTAACCCGTGAGTATCATTTAGTGCTGGCACAAGTCCAGTTAACAGGCACACGCATGACTCAACAGTGAAAGATCGAAAACGGGAATTGGCGATATTTTCAATAACAATTTTAGTCTGGTGTTTAGGCACCAGTTTCTCATTTGCATCACAAAAAAATCAAGAAACGGTACGGCCCAGCGCAAAAATTTTGACATAAAATAGTCAGTCGAGAAACCGATCAGAATAACTTGTATACTCCAGTGAAAACTTCATCAATCAGTAGTATTTAATAATACAATAACCTCCCACCCCTCCTTGCGTACTAATAGTTCGTCCTCCACCCTTCCCTCAGTAACAACAGTCTGCCTTCAACCCCTCCCTGAATACTGGTAAACTGCATCCCACCTCTCCCTAAGTGCTAATGGTCTACCTTTCCCCGATAAATGGGTCCAAGATAAAAAGGTCCAAAGAAAGGTTCAGAACATAGCCCAAAAATAACTCCAAGCTTCCAATGGTCTAGTCTCTCTTTCTCTATGCCTTGATTGCGTGGTCTGATGTAAAAGTAATGAAGCTAGTGGCTAGTTGGTGTCACACGAAAGGGGCTTTACAAAACTTTCAGTTTCAATTAATCTATTTCAATCACACGTGCGTTTATGCACTACAAGAAGGCTAAATGACGGAATAGATAGGCAATCGATTGTTAGTGATTGTTCATCGGAATTTGTATCTTTCAACTTTCAGAGAGGAAGGGCCATCTGTTTCCTCAGGGACTAGAAGGAACTTTATCAATATGGCTCCTTGGATTTCTCTTCCTTCCTTTCCTTGAGAAAGGGTATAATTTCTAGGGGTGAGGATTGCCTGTCATCGTGTGTTGGCCGGAAATTTCTCACAGTTTTTCCATAACATCATTCGGTACCTTTTCAGGCAAATTAAAGATATGATTAAATAATATATTGTTTCTGTTAGTGTATCAGTGTTAGTCGAAAACATTGATCCTGCTTCAAATTCTTTTCAAAATATTATCATACAAGCATTTTATTGCACATTATAACATATTGCATTCATTGTTGGATACTGATTCAAGTAGCTACGTGACTCAAACATTGGAAGCAGATAATGTAAGAGAAAAACAGAACGGCATCTCATAAGAAAGGACATTCTAACCATTTCATCATCGATTTCCCTTATAACCCTAAGGACTGACCAAAGTTGCATTGCTCCTTACAACATCCATATATTTTTAAGAACAAAGGTAATGAGAGACAAGAGAAACATCAACCAGATCTTAAATGTATGGAAGAAAATATGGAAAATTGATGCTTACCATGATCTTGGAAGTATGATCATTGCTCTTGTGTCGATGGTGAGTTGGCATAAATTGGGGAGTTCAACTTTACGCTTCAGTATCGCAAACACTCCGTAGTTTCGATAAAATGCCTGAGTGCAGAATGTGAAAATATAGCTAATTTATTTAAAGTTTGAATTTCTAACAGGAAAAACTTTTCTCTGAGAATGAAAGAAAACGAAACAAATATCTACATATATGTCAATTTTTTGCACCCAAAGGAGTGCAAACAATTTTCAAAATATTTTGAAATTTCGGCGGCATCTGAGCTCAAATTTTGAGGAGCATTCAGCATGATACTACAATAACAACATCTATGGATTCTGCTAGTATGACTTAGATTGTATTGAGTATGTTTGTGATGTTAAAACCACTGACTTTTATTAATAACATTGTTGATACTGAATGCGACCTTGATAGTCTTGATAAACCAATGCACAGTTAAATTTACCATACTCTCGTATTCATCAATTCGGTTTGCAACGCAATCATTGCTTTCAATTAATATATATATATAGTGGATGAATAATGGTTTCCGAGCAAATGAATACAAGTGCAAATTACCTTTTTCGATAAAAATGCCAGCATTAAATTTTTTTTCATAATTTTTCTCGGTTCTCGGTCGTTTGCACGAAATTAAACGTACGTTTCACAGTAAGACCAGCTTGAAATCTATTCCCTGCTATCACCGTTTCAGACTTAAGATATCTCTATGGATTCTCAAACACACCAAAATCACCATCTTAAGTCTATTGGGATCTCTTTTCTAACGCGAACTGTCTCATAACCAGCGAAAGCGTGCAAGAGACAAAAATAAATTCGTTCGCTAAAAAAGGTGTATTATATAATCATTGTGGTCGTTTAAAGAATAAGAAGACATTATCATTACGCAATAACGTGAGACACAATAATGAAAAAAGTACACGACTTATCTCTGTGGTCGATTTTTTTTTCCATGCGGTTGTTTCTTCGCTCCATGCATTCGATCACGTGTAAGCTCATAATGCCTTCACGGCACAATATCTCATCTGCTGCCCGTCCGGATATCTGTTTATTCTTGATCTTGGGAAGTCTTCAGCTAAGTACCTGATTGTGCCAGACATAAGTACTTGGCTTTTCATCTGAGTACCTTTTACTGCTTGAAGCTCAGTTGAGTTTCATTGGACTTTCTGTTCACCTTTAAGTTTTCCTCAAATTTCTCCCTGAGTTCGTGGGTCAACCCGCTATGAAAATGACGCTCCGCAGCTTCTAGCGTTCTAGCAACATGTTGCGCCTCCCAGGCGAAAACTGAAGGATTCCCCATCCACGACACTAAACTCATAATCACTAACCAGTGCTTCTGAGAAGGACTTTGAACTAAAGAGAATCACCAGGGCTGATTATATAATAATGTAACACGTGTGATCTCTTGTATGAACGCAAATTATGTAATGCTTTACATTAGCACATTGATTTCCTTGCACGCCATTCTATCGCCAAACCACTTTTTTGCATTCATTATTGCGACCCATTCATGCCTTTCATGTTCCTAGAGCCAAATTATCTCGTCTACCGTAAGTATATAATCATTTTCTCTAAGTGTACACTGAAAAACGCCAAACTATAAAGTATGCAATCAAGAACTCTTAAGATACTCTCAGTCGCTTACCTGGCTCGAGTGCCAACTGCCTTATACCTTTTACCTATTCAAAATCGTCAGCCATTTTTTATTATGTCGTAAAAAACTCAGCCCGCACTGGTGTTTGCAAAATTCGCCTTTTTCGCAATTTTTCTGAAACTATTTTGCTCTAGTTATTAACATACTTTACATCTCTGTCGGACAAGACCAGGAACGCAGACTGTAGTGAGGAGTGTGGAACATCTGCATCTTCTTGGAAAGAGAATTAAAGGATTCAAATTTTAAAATATCCTTGAAGTACCAATTTGAAGTCTGGAGAGACCTTAAAATTACTAGAAAAAATTTATGACAGCTGAGCTGTTTAAACAAGTAAAACCCGCTTTTCCAAGTAAATAACCAGTTTTGTTCGTGGAATTTTGGGCAATCAAATGTGGCTGATTAGAATTAAATCAGTATTGTATTTCAAGAACATCACGTTACACATGCATTTTTTGCACGTAACTGGAAGATAATCACTTTTAGAGATTAATACAAATCGATGGGAATTTAAGAAAGAAATTGAAATTGTAAAGATGGTTTTGTGTAGACGAAAAGACGAAAGATGCCCGAGCAGTAACGAGACGCAACAACAAATATAATTAGGATTCAAAATTAAACCAATGAAAATGAACTTTTCTGTGTCCTTTTCTTGCTGATTGCTCGCAGACAAAGAAGGTCAACTTGTATGCTGTAAAATGAACACAAAAGTGGAAATTACAATTCAAATAGCGTGCTGGACATTTCTTGTGTAACTGAGCACATTCGTGATGTTGTGTTCAACGATACAAGGCAAAACGGTAAAGGTAATCTTCCTAGGCCATAAGAATTTTCGAGTTAAAAGTCTGACTTATTTCCTAAGCCATTTCTGATCACTTAACGACTAACTAATAGATTGGATCTCATTGAATATCACTATCATACATGACTGTGATGATGAGGCCTCAACAATGCGCAGTAAACAGCTAAATTTCAAGAAAATTTGCACCCTCTCTTTCCCTGACTTATTCCGATCTGTGATTTATTCCGTTTTTAATTCGTAGAGTACGTGATCTAAATGATATGATCTCATTATCTTGTACTCTAAATGTCCTTCTTGCGGTTTAGCATTTGGCGTCGCTTTTCGCTTAAGTGCTTGAAGGTTAGAATTTCATTTAACTTAAGTGAAAAACATCAAAATGATTTTTTATTGTAGTTATTTATCATGTTTTAAAACCCTCTTTCCCCGAGCCGTCTTGAAGTCGTTTAAAAATTTCAAGGCTTCCCTTTCTAAGAAGTCTCCGCAATGAGGGCATGATCAATATGCCACACTTTATTGACAGTCTCTGATGTGGAGCAATTGAAAATGTTTCGCTGCTTAATATTCTTCAAAACATTCCAATTCAAGTAGTTCTAGTTTGCTTTATTCCAGATCGCGCTGATGACACATTTTAGGTTATGAAATGAAAAATTTAACAAAATAAGTTGAAAATTTGTAATATTGAGATGTAAGTAAATAAAATTCCCTACTGAAGACTTCGTTCCAGTTCTCCATAAATCTTAATCGTGTTCAAAAAGCAGTCACGTTGGCTTCTTTCTTGATGGCTCCTGTAAATCAGCGCTCCCACCGAAAATAGGTTCATATACTGTCGCGTGACATTTGGCATTAGGTATTGGTATTAGCATATTTGGGGTGATGTGAGTTTGATGCGATGATAAAATAAAAAGAGTTCCACACAATCCTCTTCCATCTTGTAGAACGTGCTTGGAATTTTCGAAATAGGGTCAATTACAGCCTCTTATTTCGGTTCCTAGACCATCAGTGATTGATTGTTTTCTGATAACTTCTACGTTAGCGGATGATAATCTGATTGTGGTTGACGTTGAAACATATATGTAATATTTGGGGGATTTTATAACGATCGTTTGGTTTTAAAGTATCGAAATATCTGAGTTTTACAGCATGTATGTTGGGCTTGCAAAAGTCAATCTTTCTCACAAATTTAGGAGTTTGATTTTGAAATGTATACTTTTCACTTGACAAACCTTGGTGTCCTTATTCGTCGATAGATTTGGTCAGCTTTTAATATTTGACCAAAGAATGTTTGCGACACAAGAATCTGCTGCGAGCTGATTAGATTTACTCTTCCTCGCTAGTTCTCTCTCCCTCCACTCGCGAAATCGCGTTGTAATATGATAAGTCTTTGCAGAAATGCTTAGATGCGTGCAGGTTGAAAGGTTATACATCGCTCGAGACAAGATATTATGAACTGTTTATATTCTCTTGCTCGAGAGGATTCAGGTAGCTGTGTCACTGAGTGGATTGAGGAACGGAAAGTAACTCGTATTAAAAGACTTTTCGTGCAGCATACTAACTTACATAAACGAAACGTGATGTCTCTTTTTTCTCCCGACCCGCTCTTTCGGTAAAACTCTTCTTGAACAGAAAGAACTGTAGGCATTATTCGGCAGTGCACATTTTAGCCTATTAAATTGAATTCGAGTGTCAACAGGAAAAATATCATTTAACGTCAATTCTACTTTAAGGTTTTAAAACTACTTTTTAGGATAGGTTTCCGAGATCTCACCTCACCAACATAGTGGACGAATGTAGAGCATACACGATGAAATTCGCAAATGTTTGTTCAAACTTTTGGACGCTTTTTACATCCCACCATTCTTTTCTCAGAAAAAAAAAATTATACATCATGTTTATGAGAAGGATATCTGGTTATCAAGTCACGGGAGTCGGAAAGGAAATTTCTGTCACTTATTGAGATGGACCTCAAAGATTTCATGTTTATCTCAGTACTGGGCTAATATCTCCCCCTAATATGAAAGGAAGACCAAATTTGCGCCGCTAACCGTGCCCGAAGCCCACGCGTTAATTACTCATAATACTAAATTTCTCAAAAGTGACAAGATTTTACCAAAGACATTTTTATCAATTTATTATTCATTTTTTCCTAGAGGAAATAGTTTTTTAACAAGGCCAACACATGTTCATCAAATGTGCTCGGTCATTATCTGCTATGCCTGTATAAAACTGCAGAGCGTAATAAAACAGAGACAGGTTAAAATACTGCTACTATCAATCCAAATAACAGGTAATGCAGCTTGTTACAAAGTGTGAGCTCTCAAGATTATCTGAAATCGTACGGACAAATCACATCTATGGAAAATATCGCCTCTAGATCTACGTATACTTTCCTCTTGGAAAGCAGTCGACGAACGTGTTTATAAGCACTGTCAAGTTCATTGTTTGGTTGTATAGATGCGGAAATATAATATAAAATAAGACAAAAATGTGGGTTTACTGTGTCACTAAAACTTGCAAGCGATGCATTTATGAGCCTGACGCTAAGAAGCAGCTGAACGTGAAGACTAAAGCTCGAAGTGCTTTTCTCAATGAAATTGCCTCAGCAACATAAGGCCTATACTATTTATCTATAATGACGAGAAAATGCTTTCTTAAGGTGAACGGTTTCCCTTGTTATGACCTTTACGGTTTTGGTGGCTTCTTTTCCTCTGCCTGCAGACTGTAACCGTGTTGATTGGACTCCCTCGTCTCTCCCTCATGAGTTTCAAGCCACATTGCCTACACAGTGACCTGCAGTGACGTGTTTTTTTTCCATCATTTCCGCATACCCTTCCTTCCAGGCCTGGAGAGCCAGCGGTCACATTACGTTGGCAATAATCAGGCGACGAATCCTGATAAGTTAGTACCAGCAGCTGCATGTGATTTCTGCGGAAAACCTTTCCCATACTGAGCTGCTGCTGCTGCACATTATTGCTCTTGACGGCAGATTGATATTTGTTTTTCAGTTCTTTTGCAACTTCCTGCCATTTATCGCATTTTTTAGGCACTCTACTCAGACAATTCTTGTAATTCCCCTTGAAAACCTATTTGGATACGAAAACATTGGTCAGAATAATCAGCGGGCATTGTATTAACCATACAAACCATAGCTTAGTGCCAAGGCTGGTTGTATAGGAAGCCCATAGGCAATCACTATGGTAGCGATCGCAGAGTTTCGTCAATAGCTACGAGTGTTAAGCAGGTGTCTTTGCAAGTGAATATGTAAAGGCGGTGTTTCCTCCCGGAAGAAAAAAAAAATGTAAGTGTTCTCAAGGAATATGAGATTCTGGAATATAGATTAACAAGAGTTGTTTATGCCACTCATATTGATAACACACCGCCAAGTTCACGCATTAAATTAGGCTAGTTTCCATGCTAAACAGCATATCCTGTTTGACAACACATTACCCTTTAAGCCAGGTTGGGTCTTCTTGTCGCTCCCAGCATAGAAACAATTTTAGAGTTCATTTGGTAAAATAACCCCAAGGAGAATGCACGTAGAGTACAGTTAGAGGAGACGTGACCTCTTAATCGATTCCTCAAAAATGAGATGCCATTATTGTCTTATGGTTGAAAGAGATAAATGATAGGTATTTGAATAAAAAGTGGCAGCAAAATTGATAGATAAGTGAGCAAACAAAAAATGAAATATTAGAATTAATAAAATAAGTAAATCTCATTTACCTCTATTCCCACATTTTGATTCTTTTCGTCGATTTCTCTTCGATCGTTGTTCCCTTGTGGTCGAGTTCTTAGGAGGTTCAGCGTCACCTCCGCGGCAAACGTCAGGTTGTTCCCACATCTAGAAGTTCGTTGTGCTTTTTTGTCACAGCTACATTCGGTGATTTTATTTGCAGCACACTGAGAAACGATTTCTTGTAGGATGCCAGCGGTTGTGATTGCATGTAGAAACGCTGTCTCTTTGTTCGCTGCAACAGAAAGAAGTTAGCTGTTTAGAAATATTAGGTCAATAGCTTAAGGCATTTGAAAAAAAAGGGAATAATACCACGAGGAAAATCTCTTTATTTTCTAAATCTATCTACAAATCTCAGGTCAATGATTATTTTTATCAACATAATGTTTATCATCATGGTTTTTACCATTATTCTTTATTATTAATTTGATCATAAAAGTAGAATGAGAAGGATCCTGAGGTAGAAGCTTGAATAAGAAGCTCGAATATCCGCAATGTACTTAGTCCTGCTTAAAACAGAGTCAAGTTACTTTGTGTATGATGCATGCATGAAATGATTATAAGACCTCTTACCATAAGGCAAAGTTCTTTGAACAAAGTCAGGTAAATTTCCAGTCACGCTTTTGTTATAAAAACTGCAGTCCCAGAGCTCGTCTTTATATAGCCTTTGGCATTCCCCCAGACCCCTGCTCAATCCGGCTCTCATGATTTTCATTCTTTTGGTAGCATCCTGAGTTTAAAGAAAAAAGCCAAGAAGTAAGTAAATACAAAACATCTTCCGGTCGCTATACTTTCAGTTGTAAAGAGGCCAACCCTTAAATGATCTTAGTTTGAAATAGATTAGAGATAATAAACTGAAAGTAACATACCTGTATGGAATTAACGATGGCTGATCCTGGGTCAGCTCTGCCGAATAAAAGGGAAAATGTTGTCTTGACGAGGAAAATGTAGAAAAATAAACTGTGAGGTTAAATATAGAATAAATTTAGCTTTCATGAACTAACGAGACTTACGTTCGACCTTCTGTTGTTGTGACCATGTTTAGGAGAGCCAAGGTGACCATGATTGCTGGAAAAATCATCAAAAACTTCATCTCTGACATCACGAAGTTCAGTCGAATACAAATCAGCGAAAATTAGGTTGAGTCTGCAAATAGTATAAAACAATGATAGAAAGCAACACGTTAGCAACACCTCAATTGATCAAATAGCCATAAATAAGAGTTTTACGCGATGTTAGGAAAAAGATACATTGGCATGAGATAAACAAGTCAAGAAACTGCCAAGGATAAATCACCAAACCTATCTTAACAACCTGTCCTCCTATATCGCTTGAAGTTGTCGAAAGCTTCAATATAGCAACGGGAGCCACACAGAGTCCCACTCAGATAACTTACTCTACTGTAACGTCGCTATCCACGCTGTGTTTCGCAAAAAGTGACACTTTTCATGCCGAATAGATTGGTGTACTTTCTATAGCTTGATTATTGGGTTTGTGTTTTGTTGAAACTTTACGGGAAACCTTAGACTTCATCTTCGATACACCTCTGTACAAGCAGCAATTAAATGGAATTGTGACCATAATGCTTCCCCACTGACCGAGAGAAATGCCAAAATGTTCGTCGTTTATCTTATTCTTTTTTGATGCAGTAAGAGAACTAAATTCTGTGTAGTTAAATGCTTTCAACTTTGATACATGACCGTGGGAAAACATGTTTATTTATAGTTTCCTAATGAAAAATTATCAAAGACAGTGAGGCAATCGGGCATTAAAAAGTGCACGCGCTATTTTTTAAATTACACATTGGACTTTAATTACGACCTGGTAGCCTAAGTTACCGTTCCTAATCAAAAATGACACCCTAAATGCTGTTGTTGGGGGAAAAATTGGAAGGAAAATTCACAATTCAATACTTTGGAGTCGCCTACCTTCAAAAAATGGCGATATGTGAACTGTGCGTTGTACAAAGCCGTTTTTTTCCAGTTACGCAATATAAGAGGATGCGTTTCTGGTGACTGAATACACGGTTTGAAAGCAGTAATCAATGGCAATCAATTAGTGAAAAAAGTTTTGTCAATAAGGTCTCATTTTGATGATTAAATGCATACAAGTTTTTTTTACTCTGCACATTGTGAAACTCAAGGATACGTTGGACACCCAGCAGTATTGGAATAATTTTATTATCTGCTTGTAGTTCTGCAATGAAAGTTGAGACGTGACTTCTTCCCAAGTGTTTTAGACTTTGTCCGATAAGACTGTGGCCTATGTCTGAAGAGAGTTTTATTGATTAAGAAGTGTTACTCGATTATAAGAGGGTTCTTCAGGTACATATCAATCCAACGAAATTCGACCTCTAATTTCTCATATCTCTGTCTATCCAGTCACAAACAGTACGACGAAGTCATCACACATAAACAGGAAGCGTTTATGTACCCTGAGCAAACCATTTCAGTGCAATGAAATAATGATCTTAAAATAAAAAAATAGCCGAGTTTTTCTCGATCTTGTTAGTGCTCTCGGTTGGAGAAACTAGCTTTAACTATTCATCTTGTTCATTATGGTGTTCAGGATTATTTTTTCTTATTTTAACATCTAAGATGTTTTCATGGTTAGTGCCGAATTAGGACACAAGTGGTAGATAAGGACAATTGTCCATCGATTTCTCTTACAGTCTTGCTTTTCCAAAACCTTAATCGTCAAGTTAGGTTAGTTTGGCTTTCAATAAAGTGTCCCATTTCAATTTATATATCTACGCCCCATGTCGAAGGACAAAACACAATTAGAATTGAAATTAGCTTAAGTGTTGTATTAACGACATCAAAACGAGTTGTTTTTCAGTTCCATTTGACGCCACGGCGATAGTCCAAAGGTCTCCCTAGTCTTAACTGTAATCTCAATAATCCATCTTTCATAGAGAGTGCTGGTATCGGATATTTTCCGGCTAAAAATAAAACTCTTTTGAAAGTGGATATGCTTGCCATAAACACTTCAGAAAAATTGAATTGAATCAAAAGTTGAAAGATAAGCGATTTTAACGATAATTCTATTTAAACTTTCACGCATTAGATTGTGAAAACATAAATCGTTTTAAATTTGATTTTTTTCTTTAGTCTACCAGAGGAAAGAACACATTGAAACAGACATATCGGCTAAACGTGCAAGTATGAAATTAGTCAGAGAGCTGTAATTTACACTCGTTTTGAAGATCTGAAATCCATACAAATACTCGACTTCGATAATAGTGTCAAGAGCAGTAATTCAGATGTATTACTTTTCTGCAAACAATGTCACAGCTAGCCAAACGGAAAATTTCGGAAGTTGAAGTCTACTGAGCTCTTCATAAGTAATGTTGGTTTGACTATTTGATTATTAGCACTGAAGATCATGGCACCTTTACGTGCCATCCTTAAGTCTTTAGAGCTCCTGTATGTACGCATTGAGACAAGGATGTCTCAAGCATTCTTTAAAAACAATGGCCATAAAAAATCTGTAAGACGAAAAGTGAATTCCTTAGCTTCGCTCTCGACAGGAACCCAGGAAGACCGAAAATCATCTTGTTTCTTTTGATACCATACCCATTTTAGGACTATAATGGTCAAAATCTGAACTCTCTCCTAAACTAAAAAGAATCAAGAGCCACACGCTCTTGGGCGGCGCAGAACTATGTACATAGAATATTTTGTATAGCGGCCACCGGCTGATTGTCCGATCACAGCCCTTAATTAACTGTCTGTTTGCACCGAATCAGACTTTCAACTACAAAGACTTATGAAGTTATCGGGAGTTTACTGAAAATATTTTGACTAAATTCAAATAGTTTTCATCCCAAAGAATTGAGAATGCCAAAAAATGATCGGTAGTACTCGCAAGGATGAAAACAGTCTAACAATAAAACCAAATATCTTACCAATATAGATTGTGTTATGATTGGACTTGCAGACCGGCTGCAGACACAGTTCTGGAGAGCTCTGCTTCTTCGCACGTCTAGCACACCTTGTTTTTGGCGTCAACAGAACACTCATTTAAGTAGCAGCCTGACAATTTGACAAAAAGGGATTTCCTGGGACTTATTTGTCATTTCCCCATTGTGGTTTAGTATCATTCAGGACTCAAGAGGATATAAGAGAGTATTTTGTTATTTCTCGTGGACACCACTGACTTTAATGAGCTAAGTTTGAACATCGAAAGCTTCTTTTTTATCAATTCTAATTCGTTCTATTTACGTTAAGCTTTGCATTGACGCAGAAACAACTGTTAATAACAAACACGGAAAAAAAAAAAACAGCTCGGAAATCGATAAATTTGCGAAAACATGATTCCCTGTATGTGTGAACAGCAAAAAAAGTGCACGAATAATTTCCCGTATGTGAATCAAACAAAAATGGTACGAAAGGAGAAATGATTGATCTATTTTTATTCTAACTTTTGATGTCGTGTTCGTCCGTTTACGCATGGTCTTCCGTGTGGATAATGACATAGAAAGGAATTTCTGCTGAGGCAATTATGGAAAATGCGGATTTCCAAGTCAAAACGTGCGCTCGGGACTATAAAGGTAATATATGACGTCTAGGAATAGCTATAAACAATAGGAAAGAAGGAAGATCAATGTTATTCAAAAGAGATTAGTTGAGAAATAAGGACCAAAGCCAATCATAGATCACTCTTCTGATCACGTCTCCGAAACGATGTCTGTCTACAATAATGAGAAAAACCAAAAACTGAGTAACGACCAAAAAAAGCAAGCAGAAAAAATTTCTGTGTCAGTTTCTGAGGCCACCATAGCAACTCTGAAATAGCTTAGCAAGTAAGAATAAAGTTTATGTAGACCTCCTTGTCGGAGTCGGCTGTGGCCGTACTAACTTGGTCAACTGAAAACCCTTCAAGCTTTCAAACGAAATTCAGAGCCACGCCTAAGAGAGAGAGAGAGGGAGAGGGAGAAAGAGAGACAGAAACAAACAACCAAAAAAACATACAGAACCTTGAGCGTAAAGTTGTAATTCAGAGCGAATATGAAAACAGATTACTTAGATCATTGGGTGGCCGAGAGAAAAAGAACGAAAGAATGGTAAACGCTAGAAATTGCATATTCTGCTCCATATTAGAAAGATTGCGTGGTTTTAATCGAAACCAACTTAAAGAGAAAAAAATACTGTTAGCTTATAATTAGTTTATTTAACAAATAAAAAAGCCTTGACTGCGGTCTGTTCTGTTGTAAAACACGCAGGAAGCGGATGGGGCACGAAGGAAGTTTAAGAGGAAAGACGAAACTTAGTTTCTACTTACTTCTTGACGGACCAGAACACAATAAAGGCTTCTTTATTTGTTTTAAAATAAAGAATCCGTCAAATTCCTCACGCACTTCCTTATATTTTCAAGTCAAAATTTTTGATTTTTTAAGCGTACAAGTGTCGTCAGCATGTTCTTTACTCTCATTTAACATGCTAAAATAAGCCAATCAGAAGCATTTTTTGGATGGAGCAAATGTTAATAATCTGATTGGTTGAATAAGACTACAGCTGTCAAAAATGTCAAACCATCAAACTTCACAATCTGAAATAGTTCACGGATTGAAAAAGTTCGGCAGGTCTGATTCAAAATTTTGCTTCTTTTTTTTAAAGTCGTAATAAAGAATGTAAAATTGAAATTTTCAGGGAAATCGGTTCGAATTTTGGCTCATGAAAACACGCAGGGTTTTTTCAATGTGAAAATTAGAAAACAAACTGATCATGGCGTGTATTGAAATGAACGACGGCCAAATCGACAGGAACATAAAGATTGCTGTGGTAAAAGCGTCCTTAAAACTCGGCTTCAGTGACTGATGACGCCCTCCACTCAACGCATCGTAAACGATATCAGAGCAAGCTCTTCACTGCGATGACTGGAGGTCGACATGATGACCTAGGATCGTAGTCGCTCTGTTATAAGTTTTTAACAGATATGACAGTTTGGTTATATTTTTCATTATTCCTGTTTTGTTCTGTTTTGTTTTTGAACCCAAAACTAAAATATTTATAATACGCGTGTTTGTTGTGTGTGAGCTGTATTACTTTACGTACTGCAATGACAGTCTACTTGAGAGAAAAAAATCTTCAAAACTCGGACAGTCCATTTCAATTCGTTTTCTCTACGATAATATTCGTCTCTGCTCAATAATTTCATCAGTTACGTTGCTTGGCTTGTTTACAAGCCAAGAAGTTTTCTCTTGTTCAAACATTTCGCTTTT